GCCAGGCAAGGGTGCTGCAGCCTTTATCCCCAAAGTCCCACTCGGGAAAAAGCAGAGTACTGACTGCAAACAGGTAAAAAGCTTTCTACAGACAGAGGGATGTTTCCGTTATATCAGTGTTTCCCAAACGTCTTCTCTGGGGACCCATATTTTAGTCAATAGACATCATTCGTTAACTCCTGGGAAACATGATGTGAGATGACCCCCAAAAAAATCTTGTGACATACCTGAGGGTCGCGACCCAGTCTTTGGGAAACAAGAATACAGAGTCACAGACTACAGTGTTTTTTTTTCAATGCCGATACATCAATGGTACATGTGGTTTTCCACAGAGAAAGGGGAAAAAAGTCAAAGGAGGACAAAGCTCCAAGCTGGTGAGTCCAAACCTAGATTTAGGATAAATCAAAACTCTACAGGAAAAACATTTTTATTTATTTATTTTTTATTTTTTTTAAACAGGCCGTTCACAGCTCTATGTGTTTGGACTTGGTTGACTGTTACTCCGCCTTACCCAAAGACCCTATCTTGAGGAAACAACAGCTGGAGGAGCTCATGATGACGAGCCACAGTTCCTTCACTTTCATGCAGGTACGCTATGGATGGATACCAGTGGAGAACATGAGTTTGTCTTCAGGATGTGCTCGTTAGCGACATCATTATGAGGTGTTAGGTTTACTCTCCCAATCACTGCATGACTTTTTAAAACAAGGTTTTCATATTTAGGACTCTCTTCTAGAAGCTGACAGCGCCACCAATGGTGGATTGAAGAGACCGCTGTCGAGATCCTTCTCTCCTCTGGGTATGAGCTTAATTTTTTAAGTTTTTTTTTTTTTTTTTCATACAGACCAGTAATTCCTAAATCACCATGATTTATCTAACTGTTTGCACTAAACAGGAGGATCAGACCTGAAAAGCCCAGTTACTGTCCTGTCAGCAACTATGCATGTAAGCATTTTTTATTTCCTTCCTGTATTCAGTCAGTAGTTTGTGGCTTTAAATCCTTACTCTTTTTCTTCCTTCTTTAGTCTACCCCACTGCCTGTCAGGCGAGGGCAGAGAAAAGCTAGCCTTACCAGCGAAGACGACGGTCTAGAAAACTGTGACCTGGAGTTTTCCCCCAAGAGTCTCCCTTGTGTAAGAAACAGGACGGGGCTTTTTGATGCAAACTCTGCATGTGTACACTTGAGGGTTGCTGGCTGAAATTAGGGATGGCTCAATATAACCGATACTGCAACTTGGAGTATCTGCAGATACCAATATCAGTCCAATAGCTTCTTTTATTTTCTGGCGTACTGTAGGCTGACATCACATAGGGTCCCTGTTTATGACATGTCTCCCAAAGTTAAGTTGAGCATTTGGGCTATCCAATCAGACGGTCTCTAGTTGTATTTGTTTTAATCTCCAATCTTGAAATTTTGACCAGTATCGGACCGATACCAATCTTTAGTGTCGGATGGGCTCTAGTTGTATTTTTTTTTTAATGTCCGATCTTGAGATTTTGACCGATATCGGACCGATACCAATCTTTAGTGTCAGATCAAGCCATCCCCAGTTTAACTCTAAATAGTTTTCTCAATCTAATGAATTCAACCCAGGTCATTTCAAAGCATGGGTCCGTGCTTCATGTCTTTTCTCTTCTCTGCCCACCATTGATATGTCCCATCAGGCGAGCTGGATGTTGAATTTTGGCTCTGGAAGCCTCTAAACCAGGGCTGTCAAACATACGGCCGACAACCAAAACTGGCCCACTTGGGGTTCAATACGGCACTCATGATGAATGTTGAAACTGGGGGGAAAAAAAAGTACAAACACCTGTATTATGCCAGTGACTTTTTGTTAGATATTTTATTGAAATTCCCCAAATATATTTGTACTTATTAGCATGAAAACCACGTGGGTGAAACATGGGACTTAAACTTATGAATGAGTTTGACCTCCCTGTTCTAAACTAAAAGTATAATGTTCTGATGAACTAAACTGGCATTAAGCCAGTTTAGTAAATAAAGATAAAGTAAATGAAAGATTAAGTTTTTTTGACAAGGACTTTGTGCGGACATTTTCGTCCACGAACTTTGACCCTTCCAAGATTTTAATCTGCACCAAAGTCCAAATTACCTTTTAATTATATGGGAAATAATTTACTTTTTTGTAATAATGGTAAATGATGAAGTGGTAATAAATAATATAATAATAAAAATATTATAATGATTGAATGTTTAGTAGTTTTGTGGAGGGTTTGAAGTTGTTTACGCTATGACCAAAAGCAACCAAAAATTGCAAATATTACGCATTATTGCTTTTAGCCATGAAGGTGTCCAGCGGTTGTGCAAATGCACAGTAAATAGAGAATAAAAACTCTTCAGAGTCTAAAAATAAGTCTTCCTTCAAAAATCACACCATTGGCATATATAATATGTGATGAAAAATGACAAATGAAAAACTGGAAAATTTCACAACCTCACACAATCAATCAAGTCAATCAGAAGTTGTCTGATATACTGTAACTAATGAGGAGCTCAAAACTTATTTTTTTTTCAATTTGGTAATTATATATATAAAAAAAATCGAAAAGTCTGCATTTTGCTCGTGAAATATCCGTGCACCTCATTTGAAATGAGAATAAAATCATTTTTAGTGCAATTTATAAAATATTTTAGCCTTTACTGTCTTTGTGGTGAAGTGATGGCTGATATTGTAATCTTTGTAAAACACTTTCTTGTCATATCAGACGCACAACCGTTGATCAGACATCAGTGAGTGCGCCATCTATTGGGGAATGCAGGCATTACAGGGCAAAGGCAACATGACAGAATTCTAATGATAATATAGTTAATGATAGCATAATATCGATAATAAAGTTCGTAATTATGGATGTCCGACATTATTGGCTAACCAATATTATTGACCAATTTTAGCTTGATTATGTAATAACGCAATGCCTGGGTTACGCCTAAATGATGTAACCTAAAAATAGTTTTGAAATGAAACTAAAAGTAAAACTATTATTTAAACTGTGCACTGTATTGTCATTGTTACACTGCACACAACGAAATGTGTACTCTGCCTTTAACCCAAGCGGCTGCATGTATTGGTTAATATCGGAATTAAGTGTTTGGACAATATCGGTATATCGGATATTGGCAAAAACTTGATGTCGTACATCCCTATTTGTAATGTAAGAGAAGTTTGGCGGGCCGTATCTGGGCCATGGGCCATAGTTTGCCCATGCCTAGTGTAAGGCCAAACTATCTGTGTGTGATTCAGAACATGATTTTTCTGTGCCTTACTTTTACTTCTTTTGTTTGTTTTTTTTATAGGTCTTCAAGAAAAGCACATATAAGAATGGAGACCTGAAATACAAACCAAACTCCCCCAACATTGCTGAACCCAGGTACATTAGTATCGGCACTCAGACACCGCCCGAGTTCGCTCCCTCAGAAAATGAACTCCAACCAGAACCACAGCCTGGTACGTTGAACACACAGTTGTTAATGCGTTTGAGCCTGAAAGCATGTTGTTTGATAGACAGTCTGTTCTGCGTCACCTTTCCAGTTCACCAGTCCAGTTACACAATGGGAAATGGTGGACAGATGTTCTCCTCGCCTGGATCTGCTCACTCTTACTACACTCGAGGATCTATGAGAGGTATGGCACGTGACGGCAAAGAACCGAAAACGATCGCTCAGTCTTGTATTGGTAATGAGTGTAATTGGAGGTCATCTTTTCATCCTCTTGACCTTTCAAAAGCTTTGGAAAGATTTCTTTGTAGTATGTAGTTTCGGAATTCTAACAAATCCAAATTATCCGTATTAAAGGAGTAAATGCTTTATTTTTGCTTCTTAGCAGGGGGGCTCTTGACTCCCCAGACTCGTTCCAAAGACTCTGGTCCTCTCTTTTGCTCTCCCAGGGTAAGTAATGTTTCTCTACAACAACAGCAACAACGCAAACAATGTACAGTAGAAAGAGAAAAATACTGGATGAAATGGTGCTACATTTAGAGTTCATTTGAAATATAGAATATTTAATTGAAGCATTTGTTTATGCTAACAAAACAAAGCGGATTATACGCAACGTAAAATGACTCCAATTAAATCGCTGGTATGTAATGTCATACAAAATCATAAGAGGGAAATTATTAGATATAAAAATATTTTTAAAAAAATTATATATGTGTGTGTATATATATGTATGTTTGTATATATATACTGTATAGACACATACATATATGTACGTATGTATATGTATGTAGGTATATGTATGTAGGTGTATGTGTGTGTATATATGTGTGTGTATATATATATATATAGTATATATGTACATATATCTGTGTGTGTATATAAAGCTGTTACTAGACTGTACTTCCATGATCATTGTTTCTTTGTTAATTTGTCAGGACTCTGGATTCCCACATGGACGGGAAGGAGGAAGGCACAACAGTAGCGGTAAGAACTTAGCATAGGTGGAGTAAAGTGGACCTGAAGCAAATATGTAAACTTGTCATATACTGTGCACATGCACACTTGGTGCTTCATGAGGCTCATGTGTTTTTTTTAATGGACGATTGCCAACCCTAATAGCGTTGCACTAATTGGCCAATATTCCCCAGGGACACATTTTCTGAGGATTAATCGCACACGATTTCAGACTGATCATTGTGCATTAAATCTTTGTACTTTTTAGGTTTCTTGAGTGACTCTTCCCAAGTGAGAAGCCCAGGCGAGGATAAAGGCTACACAATCGTAGACTCCGGGCTTGGTGATTCGCTGTCGGTTTCCTCTGTGGAGGTCCCAGTCATTCCCCACGGCCACCACCACGCTGCACTGCTGCCTATGCAACTGTACTCAATCTCCCAGCCTCTGAGAGTGGCTTTCACAGCTTCCCGCACTGCCAACTTTGTCCCAGGTAATCTGGACCAGCCCATTGTGTTTGATCATCTGCACAGCAACCTGGGCGCGACGTACGACACCCACATCGGCCGCTTTACCAGTCCTGTCAACGGAACCTATGTCTTCATCTTCCACATCTTAAAACTCGCCATCAATGTGCCGCTCTACATCAACCTCATGCGCAACGAGGAAGTGATGGTGTCCGCATATGCCAACGATGGAGCCCCAGATCACGAGACGGCTAGCAATCACGCCATCCTACCACTTTTTCAGGGAGACCAGGTGTGGCTGCGTTTGCATCGTGGCGCCATTTATGGAAGCACCTGGAAATATAGCACCTTCTCAGGGTTCCTGCTCTACCAGGAGTGAGCTTCTGTTGTGAGCCAAACAGCCACACCCTCACTACGGCCTGTTTGTAATGGACATACAGTGGTGCAAAATTGACTGGGGTTAGTGTAATTAGGTGTTAAAAATGTCACTTGCTAATGTCACATATCACTACTTTCGGCATCATCGTTTGACCGTCCACACACATGTTGGATTTGCCAAGTGAATTATTGCAGACCGGTAAAAAGCTTAATTTTTCTGGGTGGTCGGTGCGGTGTCTCACATACGGCCCTGGAGAAATGGGATTGACCGTTACATGTGCCTGATGATGAATTAAAAGAAAGCAATCTAACTGTTGGTTTATTCCTTGGTCTATTCCTAAAGTGGTCTGGTCCACCTTGAACTAAATTGTTTTGGAGCATCAACTTTTATTGCAGAAAATGGTTGAGGATCTCCCTCTTGGTAGTAGAAGATGAACAATTAGGACAAAACATTCTCGCTTGTACACAAATAATTTGCGATTATAAAAAAAAAACAAAACCTTAAACTCTCATTCAGGGCATAGAATTCCTCATTACGTCATTAAAACAAAAAATTTGGCCACGTCTAGTTTTAAGACTGGACGTCATTAAAACAAAACATTTGGCCACGTCTAGTTTTAAGACTGGCTACTGGTTGAATATCATTATTCTTGCTCTGGTTCTAGTTCTCAGTGTCTCATTTGGTAGGGAATAAAGAAGTGGCATGATGAGTGCATTTTCCATCCATCTTTTCCTTTTCAGGGGCACTGGCGTGAATCCCAGCTAGCTACGGGTGAGGACATGGTACACCCTGGACAGTTCTCCAGTCCATCCCAGGGCCACATATAGAGACAAACACGCTTTCCCGATCACATTTATATCTATCAATTTAGAGTTTCTGCTACTGAACATGTTTTCGGGCTGTGGGTGGGAGTTGGAGTACCCGGAGAACATCCATGAAAACACGGAGAAAACATGCATGCATCAAAAAAATATTAATTCTTGCAAATTCCATACTGAAAGATCATCTGGAATGCATGCATCAAAAAAATATTAATTCTTTTACCCTAGGAAGAACACTTCAAAAAGTTTGGTGAACAATGATGGAGGACAACACTGCACTATTTGACCTATTGGGGGGAGAATTGTGGGCGGGTATACTAATGGTGGCATGTATCGTTGCATGAAGATTGTTCAGCCCATAGTTTTCTTTCAAACACAGCACTTAGAACCAAATGTGTAATCTCAGTGCAAGACATGTTGTTTCAGGCGCTACACCAAAATGTAGCGCTAACGATAGTTATGACAGTCCTAGTGGTAATAATCTAACCTACAACCTTGTGGAATTATTACCAAAAATGACCAGAAATACCATGGTTTATGAACAGGCCCTTCCCCACATCTATCATACTTTAAATTTCCCTTTGCATCAAACCAGTGATTTCCATAGTGGGGGGCAGATCCCCCTTGGTGTCACAGAGTTATTGCAGTTCCCTTTGCATCAAACCAGTGACACCCCCTTGGTGTCACAGAGTTATTGCAGGAGGGTACAGCGTATAATTATAATTGTTTTTCTATTTCATTAGTGTCACCGTTAGAAGAATTCTCTGTTTTGTAATTCTATTTCCTTTTTTTGCTGATGATATCGATTTTTAGGAATTACTGTAGTGTTTGAAATGAGGTTCGATGGAGTTCTGAAGAATTAGCTGCAAAAATGGGGGTGAGGGTCTCAACAAAGTGTCCTATCTACAACATGGGAGGTGCTGCCAAAAAGGTTTGTGAAACTCCCAACCATACCCTAACTGCAATATACACTTCAAACTGTGTATTAATATTGATATTGTAACTTTTTGTTACTTAGTTGTTTTATTAATGTTTTGTGAAGTGTTTTGTTTATTGTTTCATTAAATTAACTTTTTTTTTTTTTAACAGGCTTTGCTAATGAACAAAGTTACTAACTATCCAGTATCCGGTATACTGGCTATTGTACTAAAATATTTTAGAATTTACAGAATTATTATGATACATTTATTTTGAAATTGTTAATTATTGGAAGTGCCAATTCAGTTTCCCGCATTTCCTTTGATTTGTTTCGTGAAAACTGATTACGACATTAAAGGCTCCCTCTGCTGATAGAGGTCCATAGTTGATAGGTAAACCTGACCAAGATTTGTGAGCCAAGATGCCCTTTGGTTGAAACAAAAAACAAAACTGTTTTAAGAATTGTAAAATTAGTTTTTAACGATAATAGTCAAGTTAACACAAATCGATCACTCTAAGCGTTCTCCATATCCTTTTGTTTAGTCAGTAGAGCTGGTCTGCCAATAGGATGGTTTATTCACATCCGAACTATACAAAATTAAATGAACTTTGATAAATGCCTTGCAAATAAGTCACGAGGTTCGTCAAATTAAATAGGACAAAAGACAGGGCTTTGTATTCCTGTAACTTTGTAAAAGTTTGACTTTAAAGACAGGAGCTTTGGTTGTTCTCGTCTTCAGGCATGTAATGACCAGACCTCAAACAAAGGCTTCCGCCACGAGGGCTTTTATTTTGTATCTTGTATCCGGGAACTTAGTCGCTCCAGTGAGCAGAAGTGGGCATAGCAAACGGGTTGCGGAGCTGGCAAATACCTCTGTCGTTAACTGGTGATACAGTGTTCTAAAACACTGAAGGACCCTCCGGAATTGGACACATATGGACCCCAATCGGATTATACAGGCTCTTAAAGGAACTATCGACCCGAATTTAAGAATATCCGCTGAGAATGAACTTAACCAGGTCTGTGAGAGTGGTGTACACTTCGCTTTGTTTATGTGGGTTTGAGACGAGTGGGTGGCAAACGGGCCGTTTATGGCTTCGTACTGAAACCGGTGTTTATGTTTATGGAAGGCCGTGTGTTTGTCAACAAGGCCTCTGCAACACACACTGAACAATGTACCTCACTTCATAACCGTCATTGCTACTGAGATAGGAGTTCCCTGGCACAACACACAGCGGACACATATATGTGGACAGCTAATATCGTCATACTGGAGACTGTTTATACGCTACATATGTGAACTTTAAAGTTTTTTTTAAAGCTGCTTCAAGAATTATGCAGTTATTCGGGTTAAAAACAGAAGGCTATCTGCAGCTTGTTGCCATTCGAAGATGTACTTCTGTATTTGATGAAAACTAGCTACGCAACCAATGTTCTACCTTGAATTAAAATTTCCACCTGGGCCATAGAAGCTGCCGCAACAAACCCGTCTTTAAGCCGCGCCAAAACGAGTACTTTAATGGATAAGTGCCTATGAGGGCTGTGTGAGGTCTCTCAAAAAATGGTCATCTGCTAGCATAGCACTCGGAACCCTGCTTTGAGTGGCTGTGACGTCGTGTCAATGGAGCTGCTCGTTCGGCAGAGTCAGGATAGTTAGTATTCCGTTTGTGCAGTGGCAACAAAGTAAAGACAGCCGTCGCGTCACATTTCTTTGTGAAGTACGACAGGACTGATTAGACGTTGTAAATTTTGCTGTCTAAATCTGTGCTGTCACTAATATTTAGGGGCTAAAGAAGGGGTTAAAGGTTATACAACCTAGTAATCTTCCCTCACAAAATAGCTCAGAGAACCATATTACCCCTCAGTAATATGTGATGATGTCAGGCTTCTACATAACCCGAAAAAACTGACATGTTAGCTAAGACTAGCTGTTGTACAAATTAATTTGTGTAGTGCAACTTGGTTTTAATACAAAAAGAGGAATTGTTGTACTGTTATTAATTTATCATTTATCAGTGTAAATATTATATGTTACATATTGGTTGTTATATTACTGCCCCGGGGCTTCGGTGTTTTGAGTGGACAATTTAATTACCACTTATTGTAAATCCAAATCTTGTGTTTTTTTTAAATAATTTATGACATTTGACTATTTCTTTAGTTGGAATATTTGGTAGCACTGTCCTCTAATGATCAATGGTAAATAATTTCCTTGGTAAAGCCTTTATAACACGAGTCAAACTCAAGGCCCGCAAGCCAAATGTGACCCGCCAGGTTATTTGGTGTGGCCCTGAAGGAGCTTAAAAATTGCTAAATGGCTTTTTCAAAGGTCCATGGTGCTTCAGGGCTAAATTTCAACTACAACAGTGCATTTTTTGACGATGAGAGATATGTGAGCAGATATCTGCTTGGTATGTTCAGGGACAAGCAGCATCACCACAACAACAGCAAAACCTGACTCATCCACTGTAGTTCTGAACTGAGATCTCTGTTTGTTGTCCGATGTTTGTAAAGTTTGATTTGAATGTGAATTTCTTAACCTGATAAATTTAATGTTTTTTGACACAGAGCAGTGTATAATATTTGTAGTCTGAATAAATAATAAATTGCAGAAACAACCATCCCTTCAAGAGCAACTGCATTGCTAATGTGGCCCCTGGTAAAATCGAGTTTGACACCCCTTCACACTGTACCCAACAAAAGCTGTGTGTTTACATAGTGACACCATTTATTACTGACTATATATTAAAAAATACATTTACATTTTGTTGGACTTCATTTTAAAAATTGTTCTAAATTTCAATTTCACTTTTTTGTACCTTTACAGTCCTACAAGATCATCAACTTCGCACCCACTCTGCTTCAGATCATCGTGTCAGAGCAGGTGGAGTTTCCTGTTCGTCAGGCAGGTAAGCGTAACTGTTGCATCATTTTTACTCATTATTATGTAGTATCTGCATCTTCATTATCTGTGCATTTTTATCGGACCTTGTGGCTGTTGTGGTTGTCTCCGTAGCTGCCATATACCTGAAGAACATGGTAAGTCAGTATTGGCAGGACAGAGAGCCGTCTCTAGGAGAAGTTGTCTTTCCCTTCAACATCCATGAGAATGATCGTCAGCAGATCAGAGATAACATCGTGGAGGCCATCATCCGCTGTCCTGAGTCAATACGGTACTTTCCCTATCCCCAAATCCTCGATGGCTGCACTGAACTGATCAGCTGCATTCTCTGTCCTGTTCAACGTAGCTAATGAATCTTTCTCTGTTGTCCCTAGTGCCCAGCTCACCATGTGTCTGCGAGCAATTATCAAACATGACTTTCCTGGCCGCTGGACGACCATTGTGGACAAAATCAGCATGTACTTGCAGACTTCAAACAGCAGCAGCTGGTACGGAAGTCTGATGGCTCTGTACCAGATGGTGAAAACCTATGAGTGAGTAACCACTGTCTTTTCTTCTGCTACTACTAAGTGCTCTAAATATTAAGGATCGCTTGATCCCATTTTCAGGATCAGTGTCGGAACAAAATTGGTCGAGGATTGAACCTCAGCTTAACTTTGTGCGGCATGACGTAAACAGGGACACTATCACATCATGTATGAAAACATGACGTCAGCGACTTCTAGAAGGCTTATTCCTTAGGGCTCAACAGATGTCATTTTATTTGACGACAAATTTAGACGCCGTTCTCTGACCATAAATAATCGTTCTATCTTTGTGGGGCAGTTGTTTGTGGTCGAGCTTTCATGTCCAGTATTATATGCAGCTGTCTCCCATCCAAAAGCACAAAAGTTTATTATTGAGTTGTCGGAGTTTTTGGCAGATGTCTTTACACAGGTGACATTTAAGACACTTGTTACAAACCCATCCAACCTAAAAAAAAGTTCGCTTTATTGCACTTATTTATAGCGCTGTAATCTCCCAGTCGACTGGTTGATTTATTGGTTGATACGTTCTGGCTCGGCCAAATTCTGATTGGTCGATTTTTGTGTTTTTAAAATATATGTTTAAACCATATTCCCACCTTGTGCTCTTCAGATACAGAAAGGTTGATGAGAGGGAGCCCCTGCTGGCAGCCATGCAGATTTTCCTGCCAAGGATTCAGCAGCTAATCAGCCAGCTGTTGGCCGACGCTACCATTTTCTCTGTCCTTATCCAGAAACAGATCCTGAAGATCTTTCACGCTCTTGTTCAGGTACAGTTTTTCTTCCACGTCCTTAAATCTAAAGTGCAGGAGGTAGACGTTGACATTTTGTCACGACTCTGACCATATGTGTCCAGTGTTGATGTGTTAGATAAAGTACTGATGTGAAAGTTTGGAACTCTTTACTATCAATGAATTGACCCCTTATATACCTGTAAAATGCATCCTAAAGGATCCAGACTGGAGGTCTGGGGGCCCGATGTGGCCCGCTAAATGATTTAATATGGCCTGCAGCAGCATTTCATAAAGCCCATGCAACTGAGTTTCTTAACTTGATAAATTAAAAGGTTTTTTCAATCACACAGCGCAATCAACAATATTTTTTACCTGGAATAAAATCACAATGCGTAATCAACAATATTTTTTACCTGGAATAAATATTTGCAGAAACATTTATTAATCCGTTAAGGGAAATGTATTTCGTTGGATTGACTTCCACAGTTGAGATAAGAACAGGAATGTCATTGTTGCTCTGCAGTACTCGCTGCCGCTCCAGCTGATCAATAACGTGGTGATGACACAGTGGATGGAAATCTTCCGGGCTATTATGGATCAAGACGTCCCTGCTGTAAGACACACATTGTTGACTCATAACAAATGTAAAGCAAATGTTTAATGTGTATGTTTATTATTAATATGCCCTAATGAGAACACTCTTTATACGAGGTAAACATGATGTTTCATTTTACACAAGTGGCACTGAGAAAGATCGTATTTAAATAAAAGTAAAAAAAAACAATACCGATTACGATTCTTACCTATAAAACATAAATAAGCTAATATCGGCCGATATTATCGCACATCCCTAATTTTTGTGACAGGTTTGATATACAGAAATAAGTGCTGTTTAAAAAAAAATTAGACAATGTTACTAAGAAAGTTAATGAAAAAGTGTGTGTGCGCGCTCTCTTATGCGTGTGTGTTAGGAGACATTGGAGGTTGATGAGGACGACCGTCCTGAGCTGGCATGGTGGAAGTGTAAGAAGTGGTCGCTGCGCATAATCACCAGACTGTTTGAGCGGTGAGTGGAGTTTCCTTTACGTAGTACCAAGGCTGATTTTAAGGAGTACGTTCAAATATATATATATTTTTTTCTATATATCCAGTTATGGTAGTCCTGGCAATGTGTCAAAGGAGTACAGTGACTTCGCAGACTTCTTCCTGAGAACATATGCAGTAGGCATTCAACAGGTAAGTGTATGAGATGTCTTGTTATTTCTTTGGCTTTTCTGTTTGTTAAAAAAAACTGAAATGTGTGTGCGTGTGTGTAGGTTCTGCTAAAAGTGTTGGATCAGCATCGACAGAAGCAGTACGTCACACCTCGTGTCTTGCAGCAGTGTCTCAACTACCTCAACCAGGGCCTGTCACACTCCCTGACGTGGAAACAGATGAAGCCACACATGCGGGTACGTCGGACAGAAAACATCTTAATTGCTTGAGTCTATAACAATTTAATTATGTTTGTCCTTTTTCCAAAGTTTGCATGTTGTAATTTTGCATGTTACTTTGCCTGCCGTATGGTAAGTATATAGTCGTTAATATGCTATCACAATATTTGGGCCACGATAGCAATATCACTATACAGCCATTCCGCGATAATATTGATATATTACGATAAATTTTATCCACGATACGTCAAAATATCAGTGTCACTGACAACATTCAGAATTTATTGCCTGCACGTAATCCATTTCACATGAATTACAAAATATTGTCAATCAATTTCATATCAATATGGATATGTAGAAAGAAGCAGCATCCAGATTCCTGCATTCACTAATGTTTCCACCTCTCCTGCAGCACGTAAACCCCTTCTCTCCTCATTCATGCTAAGCGCCATCATGTGGAGGCTTGAAAAAGTGCAGCAGATTTTCATGAGAGAACACTGCTTTACTTCTTGACCATATGTAGGCTCTGTGTCTTGCAGACCATTTGCCAGGAAGTCATCTTCCCTCTCATGTGTTACAAAGACGAGGATGAGAAGCTGTGGCAGGAAGACCCCTATGAATACATCCGCATGAAGTTCAGTAAGTATTAAAGTTAAACGCAATTCCTAAAATGACTGAGATCGGAGTATTCATTTGATACAATAAAACTGTTGTGGGAATGTTGTAAATGATTGACAATTTCATGATGTGATTTGTGTTTGTAAGATCTCTATGATGACCAGGCCCTTCCTGCCACTGCTGCTCAGAACCTTTTGTGTAAAGCTGCCCGTAAACGGAAAGAGGTGAGTAGCGTTTTACAGACAAATATTTTAAAACTAACTAACTGTTTGGAACGGTCAAAAATTAGAAATGTATAGGTAATGAGGACAAAGTTTGTATGTGTGCATTCATAAAGCAGTGCACGCTGTAACATGTAGTTGTCATGGCAACAGTAAATAAAATGACAACACAGCTAGAGCACTAGAGAACTGCAGTACTTTTCCTCTTCGGCACACCAAACATGTAAAGCTGAATTTTCTGCATTAAAGTACTTCATTTGTTTTAGCTGAAATGGATTTATTTCTGGGCAGGTTCTTCCTCATATGATGGAGTTCTGCCACCAAATACTGATGGACCCTTCTACTGACCCCCAGAAAAAGGACGGAGCCTTACACTGCATCGGTGCTCTGAGTGAGCTGCTATTAAAGGTACGCGCATCTAGTGGTAAACTACAGCAATGTGTGTGTTTTACAGTTGGTAAATAATGCTATGCCTAAATGCCAGAACATTCTTTTCGACAGCTACGATAATTGTCGTTTGTTTGTGGTATTTCAGAAGCGGGCGTACAGAGAGCAGATGGAGCTCATGCTGCAAAACTACGTCTTCCCTTTGCTTAACTCTTCATCCGGTTACCTAAGAGCCAGGGTAGGCTAACTTCCTGTACTGCTTCACCTAAATGAAGGCCTGTGTATTTTTGTTCTGTCAAAATCACAATTAATTTGTTCATTATGATCTGGACTCGTTGCTATAGCACATAATGAACAGCAGATGGGATCCTCAGTGGCTTTCTTTTAAAATAACTCAAACATTCAAGAAACACATTTACTGTGTTAACAAAAAAATGGTAACACGAGTAAATAAAAATGAACAAAAAAGTGTACAAATTGAAGCATAAATAAGTAAATATATATAGAAATTAGTAGGGATGTCCACTTAATTAAAAGCCGACTGAATATTGCTGAAATTCTGTCCCCTAGCAGGTGTCACTTAACCACCAGGCCACCACTGCCCCACTAGATAGCAATATTGGAATGAGAAATTAAGTGTTTGAACAATATCGGCATATATATGTGTGTGTATATATATATATATATATATATGTATACACACGTGTAGTTGTAGATACTGTGAGTGTTAACCTTCTGTCCTCTGCTGTGTCCTGTCAGTCATGCTGGGTGCTCCACTGCTTCAGTCCGCTGTGCTTCCGAGACGAGCTGATTTTAAGGAACGCCGTTGAACTGGTGAAGCAAGACCTCATCGATGACAAACAGATGCCAGTCAAGGTGGAGGCTGCCATTGCTCTGCAAACGTTGGTCAGCAACCAAGAACAAGGTCTGTGGTTACAGTACATGGGTGGCTCCGCCGCTGCTTTACACCAAAAACGGGCTGTAGCTGCTACAAAAACTGCACCACTATTTCACTCTGGGTTTTTTCTGGATTTGTGTCATGCTTTATTTCATTATTAAAGAGAACAAATAATTATATTGTAACTCAATTTGATACTCAAAATTGGTCAAAATTTAAGGGTTGAACTTTGAACGACGAAAAAAAACCATCTACAGCCCACTGATCCCACACCTAAGACCAAATATTCAACGTAACTTTGTGCGACACGCCGTAAACAGAACACTAATGGTTCCGTTTGTGTTTGTGTTTGTTCGTAGCCAAACTGTACATCAAGCCGTACATCCGACCAGTTATGCAGGAGCTGCTGCACATCGTGAAAGAGACGGAGAACGACGATTTGACAAATGTCATTCAGAAAATGATTTGCGAGTACAACCAGGAGGTGGCAGCCATTGCTGTGGACATGACACAGAATCTGGTAAGAACGAGACACATTGATTTTTTTTTTATCAATAACAGGCCTGAAATAAATGTCCATACTAACGTACAGTTACTGTGTGTGTGCACGGCAGGCTGAGATCTTCACCAAGGTCCTACAAAGTGAGGAGTACGAGGAGAATGAAGACAAGACTGTCATGGCTCTTGGCATTCTCAGCACCATAGACACCATTCTGACCGTCATGGAGGATCACAAAGAGGTCTCAGCCCCCGACACAGACACAAACACAAACGATGTCAGAAAAGAGCTAACTGTTCCCGACTGTTACCGTTTGTTCTATAAGCTGTTCTGTAATGACTCATTTCAGATAACTCAGCAGCTGGAAGGCATCTGTTTGCAGGTGATTGGCCTGGTCCTGCAGAAGCCTATTATAGGTATGGCAGGTGTGTGCGCAGCTTTTACACTGTATATCTTGCATCACAACATTCCGTGCTGGTGAAAATGGTGCACACGTTATGTTCGCTAATTCCACCATCCATCCACTTGTCTATTGCTCTAGTACAGATTGATTCAGATGTTCTTACATGCACACACTGAGGGAAACGTCCGGTCATAGGACTATAAGGTGCTCTGGAGTACAAGTCGCACCTGTGCCCTCTAGTGGCTGTCAGTGTTAAAATAACGAACATGTAAATTTTGACAAATTAACTTAATTAATTAACAATTGTTAATGATAAATCAAGAGATTCAAGATGTCCGTATTTGTCACATGTCACACGTACAAGTAGCTGAACTGTGAAATGCCAGTTTACTTGTGCAAGTGAGAAGAAAAAAAACAAGATAAAATATATAGTGTATTTTTATTTACACATTATAATGTGTAATTGTGTAATTGTGTAATGTGTTATTGTCTGGTCCGTTAGATTAATATGATTACATTGATATTGTTTGACAGCCTCGTATTCACTGTATTCATATACTGTACACAAGCACATTGTGACCCAAGACTGTTCTCATTCTGCAGTGATAAAGACACAGTTCACAGAAATGCTTAAACTAAACCTTATGTCTCTGTTTGTATATAAATGTTTGGAAATGCTGAGTTTTTATACAAATTAATTTTATACAGTATACTTTTTGCTGCAGAATTCTACGAGGAGATTCTCTCGCTAGCGTTCGGTCTCACCTGTCAGACCATTTCACCCCAGATGTGGCAGCTGCTAGGCATCCTGTATGAAGTTTTCCAGCAAGACTGCTTCGACTACTTCACAGGTACTTCACACCGGTCATGTGCGACACCGGATTTTTCGATACGATGCCAGTATTGATACTTTGTCACTTCTTCTTCCTGGTCTTCTCCCTTCTCTGATCTTTGGTTTTATTCTTGGTTAGCACCTTCAGACCACCACCATTCAACAGTCGAACGCAATACTTAGTGGAATAGTAACCCTTATTGGTGATGACCCTGTATGACCGGTAAAACTGTTAACAATATGAATCATGTTGTTGTCCCACAGATATGATGCCACTTCTGCACAACTATGTTACTGTGGACACAGCCATGTTCCTGTCCAACTCAAAGCACTTAGAGGTTATCTACAGCATGTGTAAAAAGGTTAGTACTCACCTGCAGCACACAGAGTCATACCGTCCAAACCAGCTGTCCCCCATTTATATATGTGTGTGTCTATATATATATATATACATATATTTACACAAGTATATTTACATAGATTTACATATATACATATGTGTAACTATAATAATCTAATATATATATATACATACATATAAAATATATATGTTTATATCTATATATATTTATATATCTATATATAATATCAGTATATAAATATATATATTTCTGTTTTTTATATATTTTTAGTTTAATATATTTTTATATATATGACTCTAATATATACAGACATACATATATAAATATATGTATGTTTGTATATATATATATATTGCATATATACATACACATTTTTATATATCTATATATATAATATCTATATAGTACATAAATATATATTTTATTTTTAGTTTTCTTATTGGTGAAAAGTTTTTGTTTTTTTTTGTGTAGTGTGTCAGGCTGTATTTCAGTTTTGCTGTAAAATCAAACCTCACCCTCAACTTGCAGGTGCTGACGACAGATGCCGGGGAGGACGCAGAGTGTCATGCTGCCAAACTGCTGGAGGTCATAATACTGCAGTGTCGGGGTCAGGGCATCGACCAGGTCAGAGAACCAACCCTGTAAGGGTGTGTGATTAAATAAGTGCCAAGAATTTGAACAAGTAACAATGTTTGGCAACAGTTCAAAGGATATTGATAATTAATCAGCATCCACAAAGGTTAAATCCTGCAAACTCTCCCTAAATGTCCATAAATATGTAAATATTTTTGGCCTTGAAGCTTGTTCTGACGTTCCTGTGAGTCAACAAAGAAGTGACCTGTCCTTTTTTCCCTCTCTTCGTTCTGCTGTAGTGCATTCCTCTGTTTATGGAGGCGGTGCTGGAGCGTCTGATGAGGGGTGTGAAGTCCAGTGAGCTAAGAACCATGTGTCTACAGGTGGTCATCGCTGCTCTCTACTACAACCCAGCACTGCTTATACACACTCTGGACAACATGCACTTTTCACACAACCCACAACCCATCACGGCCCACTTTATCAACCAGTGGATGATTGATACAGAATTATTCATGGGGTGAGAATAATGGCTCCTTTCCTTTTTTGGACGTAAAGCATAGATGTTTTTGGCAATGTTTTTTTTTGTTGTTGAATACAAACAACTATGCAGAGGTGGAAATAGTACTGTAAAAAAAGTACTGTAATTTAGTAAAGTGGTTATTTACTTTGATTAAATTCTACTCAAGTAAACCCATCTAAGTAGTACCCATCTAAAAATCTACTCAAGTGAAAGTAAAAAAATACTTAATTTAAAATTTACTTTGAGTAAAAGTAACTTAGTTACTTTAAATTACTCGATGCAAAAATAGAAGAGTTATACATCCAATCTGCAGCTGGTTGTTTCTAATCAACAATTCCAATACAAGTGGCATATGTTGAGTATTCTACTCTAGCTTAATACTGCAAATTCAAGCCACTGAAGCTCAGAAGTTAAATCATTTTTTAAGTAAATGATTTCAATACATTACCATGTTTAGATTTGGTACATTATTCCTAATACTTGCTCTGTGAACTGAAATGTTGTGGTTGGTATTTTATGCCTGATTCGTGTCTCTGTCTATGGGCTGTCGTTTTGAGTCTCCTCTCATCCTACTTCTCTCTGACCCACTCCTCAGTCTCCATGATCGAAAAATGTGTATCATCGGACTTAGCGTGCTGATCGAGCTGCCCTGTCGCCCAGCGGTGCTGAACAACGTTGCTTCTCAGATCGTTCCTTCCGTCCTGCTCCTCTTCCTGGGCCTCAAACATCTGTATGCCTCCCGCCTTATTAACAAACCAAATCTGCTGCAGAATACAGGGCCTCAAGATGAAGACCAGAACGGTGAGAAAAGAGACAAAGTAGAAAGAAAAGAAGAAAATAAAACATGTGCTGGAACCTGAAGTTGCTGATTGACCCTACAAGCGAAGTTGCTGATTAACCCTACAAGAGATTCTAGAATATTTGGCAATCAATCAGTTTTTTATTACCGATATTTTCAACTTGAATGTGTGTCGTCGTCTGTGGTTGCAGAGGAGATTCCCAGTGATGAGGATGAGGTGAGCAGAAACCAAAACGCCATGCAGGGACAACAGTGCAGCACGCTGACAGGTCAAGGCAGTGAGGAGGACGATGAAGATGATGAGGACTACTGGGACGACGATTGTTTTGAGGGAACACCCCTAGAAGAGTACAGCACACCTCTGGACTATGACAACGGAGAGGACGAATATCAGTTCTTCACAGCCGCCCTGCTCAGTAAGTCCTGAAACTTTTTGGAAAGACAGCAGGTAGATGTGTGTGTTTGATACAGTTAGTGGAATTATTGTTGTGGAAAATTGTTCAATATGTTTTGTAAATGTATTAGGGATGTTTGATACCATTAGCCAACCGATATTAGCATAATAATGTAATATCTGTAGGAATATCGACTTCCTAAGATAATGAAAACCCGATAAGGCAATGTCTGGGTTTCGATAAATAATGTCTGTCCTAAAAATAGTTTGGGAGATGAACTGTGTACTGTATATGAAAGTGAAAGTCACTAGATGGCAGCATTGCAGCTCATTTTATTAATCTATTTAAATGATTAGGGGATTGTAGGAATAATGCTGGTGCCAGCCCTCTGATATCAACCGATCCGTAAAGGTTGCTATCGGAATCGGAAATTAAGTTGTAACGGTTGCTATCGGAATTGGAAAATAAGTGTTTGGACAATATCGGCATATAGGATATCGGCAAAAAGTTAACATCGGACATCCCTAAACTTATATTGCTGTATTCGTACTAATGCGTATAAAAACAAAGGGGAAACACTTATTGTTCGTACTAATGTGCATAAAAACAAAGGGGAAACACTTATTGTCCGGTCCGGCAACCAAAATGAGTTTGACACCCCTGATCTAGATCTTTATTTGCCCCTAGCGAAACAGGCATGATATTTCATCTTGTGTCCATTAGGGGTCCAGAACACTGATGCAGCCTGGTACCACAGTCTAACCAGTCCACTCAGTGATGAACAGAAGAAACAGCTGCAGGAGATCTATAGTATTTCACAGCAGAGGAGGAGCAACGCCACCAAAGGCCAGTGGTGAGTGAAATACTGTATGTTATGGGAGTAAAACTAAATCTCTTTACTTCAGGACCGTCTTGTCTAGCAGCTGTGCAGGCCTCAACCAGGGACATGTAGTCCTGCATCCAGCTTCTTCGGCCCTACTGACAGGGCAGCACAAAGTGCTCCTAGCCTCGACTTTTAGTCAATGTAGGAAATATAAGGCGTCATCAGTGCCCTACTATGCACACACATGCAAACTTCTGTTGGGGATAGAACCATTCATATTGCTAACTAAGCTAACCTAATTTTGCTAAGCAGTTTAGCTGCCCAGCTATTACACCAGCGCCGCATCCTTTGAGTTGTATTACTTTATCTTGATGACCTTACTTTTTCACTTGCTTTGATAAACTATGTGGGAGTCCTCCTAAAGTCTAGTTGCTACTGGAAGAAGATCGATATTTTCAGCTTCAGTTTGTCATGTCTTTTGTGTACTATTATTGTCTCCTTCAACTCAACTTCTTTTTATTAGTTACCAGACATTTCAGGCGGCCTCATTTCCATTTTAATCGACCCAACATGGGGCCACGACCCCAAGGTTAAAGAACACTGTGTGTTAAGTAGTGTCTAAACTTTGAATGCTGTTTTTCTACCAAATAAAGCAGCTAAATTCTCATTACAGATTGCACAACGGCAGGACTTCTCATCACAACAGGGGTGGAGAGGAGGAAGAAATGGTGAAATGGTGTGCTCTGACCTGAGCAGAAGGGAATAGCAGGAAAATCTGAAAGAGTTTATTCCAGATCAGAGGACTCTTTAAAGGATTCCACCTGAAACAAGTCTCTGGGACTTCTACCAGAGCCGTGTAGGCAACCTGGGGCTGGTGACAGGCAATGACGCTACATCAGTGTGATTCTAGTCGAGCCGTGTATTACGTCACAGCCCTTTTTTTTATGGTCTAATAACCAGGGCATAACTGTCAACACTTTTATTGTTGAAGTGTGTGCATTTCAGTTTTGTGGCATAGAACCTGGATTATTGATAGAAATCTTTGACCAACAGATGTTATTAATGTTCTTGTACAGTGTGTGTGTGTGTGTGTGTGTGTGAGAGAGAGAGAAACACAAAGTGTTAAACATGAACCTGTAAGTACATTTGTATGCTCATTAAGGCTATGTAATCAAAGACTTTTTAATTATGTCGTGAAAGGAAGGCGTCGGCGGAGAGGGGCGTCTGTCCCTGAGACCGTTTCGTACACAGACCTACATATGAGCAACAAGCGCACACGAATAAATGTGAAACAGGACAGATCAAGTAGAAGCACTGTTGTTTTTGTCAGTCTTTGGCTTCATCTTTGTAATAAAAACTTCAATATTTATTTATGTCCATATTTTTGCTACGTGCTTTTTGTTGCTGGTGTGTCTGTGTGTGGAGGGCTTATATAGGGGGTGTTATATATATATGTGTATATATATACGGTATATGTATAGACCTAAATTGGTCACAAGATGGCAGTGTTGTGTTTACACCTGCTGTTTTGTTCTTAATAGGACACCGTCTGTAGAACTGTTGCTGGGCGGAAGCGCTGAGCTGATTTAGTGTTTCCTTTACCTTCGTCAGGTAAGCGCTATAGCTGTAGGCCTTCATTAGCAGAGTTAAATATCTTTTACCAAACACGGTTAAAACGTTTTGTTTATATAAATATATATATATAAATAATGTAACTGATGGAGTTTTTTTTTGAGCCACTTCATAAAGTTTGGACGGTTTTCTAAGTTTGTTTAATATGTGCTTGTGAGTCGCGATATCGAACCGTTTAGCGTGTGTGTGTGTGGGTTGTTAATGTCCGCCATGTATATGGTTTAAGACTTGTGTAATTAGTGCACGTTGTTGTAAACACATTATTTTATACAGTATATACAAAACTATAAAGTATACACAAGGACATTATGTATAGTAATTGTTCATTATAAGTTAAACCTTCATTCTTATTGCATTTATCGCACTGCCAAGAAAAAGAACGTATCAGTCTGGTCAGGTTTTTCGCATAGGTATTTTTTATATAACATTTTATTTATATTCATACATATTTTTTGTATTTTTGACCAAAAAAAGAAGAAAAAAACTCGTTTAAGGACCACATTTGTCGAGCGTTTTCCCAGACATGTCGCTATTATCAACATAAAAATGATGGAGAATTAGACGTGCCTCTCAACTGCAGTGTTTTCATGTAACCACAAGATGGTGCCTCTATACAGCGAACACAGGAAACAATCAGGGAC